AAATCTACTATTTCACTACCAGCCATCATACCGTATCACCATCAGATTACAGATTATACCGGTATTTTGGTATGTTTTATCAATTCACTGTATCTGCTATATTACACTATTTTACTATCAGCCATGGTACCGTATCACCATCAGATTACAGATTATTCCGATATTTTGGTATTTTTTGTCAATTCACTGAATCTGCAGGTTCTTAATTCTCTGAAGAAAACTCAATTTCGAGCAAAGACGGGAGATTGGATGAGTTTTGATTCTAATAGCGATTTGTCTGCATCCTGTGACATCATGAACATTCAGATACGTAATGGCGACTTCCAGTTAGTAAAGGTGGGAACGTTTCACCCCAGAGAAATGCATGGTAACAAGATCATTATCAACACAAACTCCATCCTGTGGAATGAGAAGAATCCTGGTGTGAGTAGACCTAACTAGTGATCAGAATTATTAAATAACAAAATGGTAACTTTAATATCAGATTTTGTGTGCTGAATACATGTTTTCATATTCTGCAATAGATATAATAATCCAAATACACCGATCAGCCACAACAACTACTGACAGGTGAAGTGAATAACATTGATTATATCATTACAATGTCACCTGTCACGGCGTGCGATATATGTAGAGAAAGTAATCTCGCCACTTGTACTTGGAGAGGCCTGCTTGCCAGCCTCTTGCCCTGTGACTATGGCCCCTGGGATAAACAGTTGCCAAAAAAAGTATGTGAAGCCTTTGGAATGATATGGATTTCTGCACAAATTGGTCATAAAATGTGATCTGATCATCATCTAAGTCACAACAATAGACAATCACAGTCTGCTTAAACTAATAACACACAAAGAATGAAATGTTGCCATGTTTTTATTGAACACACCATGTAAACATTCACAGTGCAGGTGGAAAAAGTATGTGAACCCTTGGATTTAATAACTGGTTGAACCTCCTTTGGCAGCAATAACTTCAACCAAACGTTTCCTGTAGTTGCAGATCAGACGTGCACAACGTCAGGAGTAATTCTTGACCATTCCTCTTTACAGAACTGTTTCAGTTCAGCAATATTCTTGGGATGTCTGGTGTGAATCGCTTTCTTGAGGTCATGCCACAACATCTCAATCGGGTTGAGCTCAGGACTCTGACTGGGCCACTTCAGAAGGTGTATTTTCTCCTGTTTAAGCCATTCTGTTGTTGATTTACTTCTATGCTTTGGGTCATTGTCCTGTTGCAACACCCATCTTCTGTTGGGCTTCAGCTGGTAGACAGATGGCCTTAAGTTCTCCTGCAAAATGTCTTGATAAACTTGGGAATTCATTTTTCCTTCGATGATAGCAATCCGTCCAGGCCCTGACGCAGCAGAGCAGACCCAAACCATGATGCCCCCACCACCATACACAGTTGGGATGAGGTTTTGATGTTGGTGTGCTGTGTCTTTTTTTGGCCACACATAGTGTTGTGTGTTTCTTCAACACAACTCAACTTTGGTTTCATCTGTCCACAGAATATTTTGCCAGTACTGCTGTGGAACATCCAGGTGCTCTTGTGCAAACTTTAAATGTGCAGCAATGTTTTGTTTGGACAGCAGTGGCTTCCTCTGGTGTATCCTCCTATGAAATCCATTCTTGTTTAGTGTTTTACGTATTGTAGATTCGCTAACAGGGATGTTGGCATTTGCCAGTGACTTTTGTAAGTCTTTAGCTGACACTCTAGGATTCTTCTTCACCTCATTGAGCAGTCTGCACTGTGCTCTTGCAGTCATCTTTAGAGGACGGCCATTCCTAGGGAGAGTAGCAGCAGTGCTGAACTTTCTCCATCTATAGACAATTTGTCTTACCGTGGACTGATGAACAGCAAGGATTTTCGAGATACTTTTATAACCCTTTCCAGCTTTATGCAAGTCAACAATTCTTAATTGTAGGTCTTCTGAGAGCTCTTTTGTGTGAGGCATCATTCACATCAGGCAATGCTTCTTGTGAAAAGCAAACCTAGAATTGGTGTGTGTTTTTTTATAGGGCAGGGCAGCTGTAACCAACACCTCCAATCTCATCTCATTGATTGGACTCCAGTTGGCTGACATCTCACTCCAATTAGCTCTTGGAGATGTCATTAGTCTAGGGGTTCACATACTTTTTCCACCTGCACTGTGAATGTTTACATGGTGTGTTCAATAAAAACATGGCAACATTTCATTCTTTGTGTGTTATTAGTTTAAGCAGACTGTGATTGTCTATTGTTGTGACTTAGATGATGATCAGATCACATTTTATGACCAATTTGTGCAGAAATCCATATCATTCCAAAGGGTTCACATACTTTTTCTTGCAACTGTATATACAAGTAGAAATGGGAAATAGGAGCATGTGTAGGTCTTTGCAATCCATATAATACTTTAAAACCATGAAGAATGATGTAATAGATTTGGGCACTCTAGGAATTTTCCTCATTACCAGAAGCAGGACCAGGTAACTCTTGGCATCATAACCATAACAGAGAGCTGAAGTGGTTATTATGCTTGGAGAAACCGTTTAAGAAACACTACACAGAGCACACAGCGCAGAGCGCACTATGCAGAGCGCAGAGCGCACAGCACAGAGCACATAGCGCACTGCACAGTAATCACACATTTGAACAAAACCCACTGGACCTACTGCTCCTACTTTTTCTCTCTATTGGTCAGTTGGCACTCGATCGTGGATAAAATCAACAATTAGTCGCTGTCCCCTAGCCATCAATCAGCTGTTTCCTTCCTCTTAATTGGACAGGAGATCCAGCCCATAGGATTGGCCAAACCTTTTGTACATCATGGAAAACTAGCTTGCCGACTCCCCTCCTGCTCCCCATACGCTTCCCCCTCTCCAAATAAATTCAGCTTCTCCTTCTTTCTATTTCTCCTTCTTTGGTGACAATAACAGAATCACGAATAATAGAGTTGTTTGTCCATATGTAGGTTTGGCGTTCGGGAACTTAGACGATTAACAGAGTGGCCAAAATCCAAATTAATTGCATTTCGGGACAAACACGTTCTTAAAGAAAGGTGATTCCCTTTTTACTGGCTGTTGATTTTTTTTAATTCTCAATTGTTCTCTTTTCCTTCTACAAGCTTTCTCTCTCACAATCTACACATTAGACTCAGTTCAGAACTATGCAGGATTATTCACTAAAGTGAGAATTCAAAGTTAATTTCAAATGTAAGGCCAAAGTAGCCAAACTGGATTCATAGATGGCTTGGAGGGTGTTTCTGTTTCAACTATTTTGACCTTTATTTTCCAATTTCACTTTGACTTCTCATTTTACTGAATAACCCTGTTCAATAAAACATTTCATTGAGCAAAAAATAACATTCCTCCAGTAAATATATTTTTTTAAATTTGATTGTTTATTAATGAAAATGTAATTGAATTATACAAAGACATTATATCCATGTGTATATGCATGTGTCTGTATCTGTGTGTCTGTATGAGTCTCTGTATGCGTATTTGTGTATGTGTACCTGCATCAGTGGTGTATCCTGGTTTTGTGCCTCCCTAGGCATGACAAAACTCAGGTGCCCCCACTGTCCCCCCCTCCCCCTGTGCTACCCCACCCTTCCCCCCTGCCCCGCCTTCTGAATACACACACACACATTCACTGACAGACATGCATACACTAGCTAACAGGCATACACACTCACTAACAGACACATACAATCACTAGCAGACACACACATTTACTAACAAACACGCATACACTCTCACTAACAGACACACACATAGTAACACACTCCCTAACAGACACACTTCCTGACATACACACACTCACACACACTAACAGACACTAACACACACAAACACTAACAGACACACTAACAGAAACACACACACTCACTTTTTTTTTTTTATTCAACCCCCCCAGCCTCCTTACCTTTGGGAATGCTGGGGGGGTTCTCCCTTTCCCTGGGGTCCAGTGGCCGCTGGGCTGCTGGGCGGGCAGCGCTTGAGCACTGATTCGTGAGCTCTCTGCTCAGCTCCCTCGCGCGCCGCAGAGTGATGCCAGGAGCCGGAATATGACGTCACTAATCGTGCCTTTACTAAAAGGCTCCTAGTCGTGCCTTTACTTTTTTAGTGAGAAGCTGTAATGGGGAATTTTTTTTTTAAATATACATATTGTTTATTTTAATAATAAACATCAGAATTACATGCATTTTCTCTGAAGGTAGAGTAACGGATGTCGTTATCACTCACGCTGTGTAATGCAGAGATCAGCAAGCAAAACATAACATGTCACTGCTGCCCGGACATTGTCCTGACTGCTGGCATGATTCATGGTTACTGCTTGCTAGCTTCCTGTTTATTATAATAAATATAGGGCTCTAAATATCTGCAGCTTAACCAATGTCTGTCTGTAACCCAGGTATGGATAGCAGAGGGAGGGCAGGTGTTTCCCCCCAAGCAGCATGCCAAGTACCAGATTCATTTTTCATTTGCCGTGGTCACATAAAGCACCACCCACATCCGTACATTGCTACCACAACACTTCCCTTTTGTTCTCTGCTGTCCCTTTAAGCATAACTCACATAGTGTAGGGCAGATGGCTTGAAAGAGCCTGGCACTCGGAGTTAGCAACCGGTCTCCTCCCTGTGTCAAGCTCAGTACTTACTTGCCCCATGCACTTCTTAATTGCCATACTAATTCCTCATCATGGTTGTTATGTGTGAGACTGAAAGCATTTTCTCCTACTCACATGATACTCCTCAGAGAGAGTGGACGGAGTATGTGACACCATCGACAGTACCCTATGCAACCTCTTCTAATACCCCTTGGGAATGGAGGCAACATGAAGGATCACTAGGAGGGCTTGCTGGAGAGACTCATAATGTAAGTAAGTAAGTTTGATTAATTAAACCACCATTTCTTTATTGATATTGTCTCTCTATTTTTGAGACCAGCAAAGTGATGTATGGTGGGAACTGGCATGGAGAAGCGGCACAGTTACAATGGCATTAGGTACTAACTGATGGATTAGTGAAATCGTGTAAGGAAAGCAGGGAGCAGACTGGGTTGTTGATATGGTGAGAGTGAAATGGACCCGCAAGTGAATGAGGCATGTGAAGGATTAATATCATATCTGACATGGACACGGATAGAGTGGACAGGGCAAGTAACATGTGCTAGCAGACAGTGGGTAGGGCAAGTGGCACGAGGGAGTGGCATGGCAATTAAGAAGTGCATGAGGTAATTAAGAAGCACTGAGCTTGACACAGGGAGGAGGCCGGTTGCTAGCTCCGCGTGTCGTGCTCTTTCAAGCCAACTGCCCTGCACTATGTGAGTGATGCTTAAAGGGACAGCAGAGAGGAAAAGGAAAGTGTGGTGGTAGCAATGTACGTATGTGGGTGATGCTTTATGTGATCGTGGCATGAGGTGTCCCTTGATGTTATATTGCAATCTATCTTTGGTTTGGTTTAATTCTCAGTAATAATGAATGTTTTGTTGTAGAGGCTGCAGGATGCCCAAGAAACATCTGATACACATATGGTTAAAAACTGCAGTACTTCCCTTTTGCTGAGCGCATGTGCAGGAATGCTAGATATGTTTACTTCTAGGAAATACTTGTGGCGATATCAATACTCTCGCTATTTGGGTATTATGTTGGGCAGTAACGAAGGTGGCAGACCATCTCGGAAATGCCTGAGAGCCATATGACCATATATTGGGACAAGAGCTGTACATGATCAGGGTCAGGACCTATGTCCAGGAATGCTAAGAATATTCATGCGCAGTAATGTAGGAAATGAATAAAGTAATAGTTAATTGGTTATTAATTACTGCAGTAATGGGAGTAACCTTTACATATCTCGCTTACGTATGAACTACATCATTTATGATATATAAGCTCTGTTAACTGAGGACTGGGGCCCAGTGTATTTTAGACATGAGTCAACACTGTGTTAATTCTGCGCAGAATAAAATAGTTTGTGTTTTCCACTGATCCGTGCCCAGTGTGTTTATGTGACTTGATTCTTGAAATACAGCTAATACTGCTATTACAGTTTCTTTACCTGCATTAGCACACAGATAGTTACATCCAATTTAAGGTATTGAGATATGTGTATGACCAGTAAGTAAGAAAACTGATACATTCCCTCTTCTAAAGATCATGGGAACCTCCATTCTTTTCTACACACTTTATATCACTATCTTACTTGTGTCAAACCATTCATATAAAGTAATGGTGCAATATGTTGGGATGTGATGTCATAAATTATTACTGTACTTATTAGACGCAAGGCTCCATGCAGAGGGTCTAATCCTGAAACCTCCAAGAACTTAGAATTCATTCATCCTATGGCAGCTCGCCATGATCAATTTCCCTCATCAATGGTCAATGGACGGTTTGATCATGGCTCATATAATCTATTACATTTATTAAACACGAAACATGTGTTTCAACTAACCTGTCTTATTATTGAAGTAGCGTTTCTTGATAGAGATTCTGGATATAGAAATTTTCCTTTGATGATACTCGCAGTCAGCATGTCTTCATCAAGGCTTTCGAAGGGGAACTAGAGAATAAATACATTAAAAAAAAAAACTCGATTTCAGTTTGTAAAGTTGTAAACTACAGGAATCAACAGCTGAGCAATAATTGAATAGTTTAAGGTTTTTATAATGTTAGTAGTACAGATTGTATAATATTTAAATTAGTATGCATGAAAGGTGTGTGGTGCGAGTGATGAATGTACGAAATGTACGAAATGTACAAGAGAACCGAACTCTCTTATAATATACATCATCAGGGGATGCTCTGTGATTGGCTGGGATTTTCAATAAGCGGAATGATTTGCACACCAGTAGGGAATCTCCATTTTGACAAAGGGCTGGAAGGTCTATATTATATTTTATCTCTCCTGGTGTTTTTATTTACTTTTAATATGGTGTATTGATTTTTGTATTTTGTTCGGGTATAATGGGCTATGATGGCTTTATTTCCTTTTTGGCAGAGACATAAAAACAATCAATAAGGAAGACTTTGACAAGTAAGTATTGAGCTTGTTTCAAGTATTAGGGCCAAAACTATTGGGCATTCTCTTACCGTACAGGTATTAGCTAGGGAGCAGTATACAGAGGGTTACACACTATGTACACTGTGGGGATATTTATGGGATGATAATATTAAACAGTCGAGAATTGCCCACTATTTCAATTCTCTTAGATCTCAGAGATCGTTATCATGTAAGTGAAATGTATTCCATACAAATAAAAATCACAAATTGTTCTAAAAATAGATTTAATTTATTGTAACAATTAATTAACAATAATATTAGGCAGCATGCATGATAATAATCAGTGAATATTTAGTATAACATAAGTATGCAATACAATGGAATGGCTATACACGTTCCAATGGCTAACAGCATCATCTGTCACTTAATAAGATTTATGAGGGTATCTTTACAGACAAAAAGTAAAGCTTCACATAGAGTAAAAGCCATAAAACCTTGGCTAACAGTTAAATCAACTGAGTAACCCTTTCAATGCTGGCTAGATCCTCCTAGGCATATAGTATCATATTCTCATGTAATTTTCAATTAAAATAACATTCAAACCAGCTCATTAGTCATTTCCTGGAACCATCCAATAAGAATAATCTACCAGATTCTATAAGCCGAATTTTAATTTGCCTAAAAAGATATCTTATCTTATTTTAGAGCAAATCAATACACCTGGATAAAAACAGCGGTATGCTAACATGTGATACTATCACATTAATATATAATTATTCTTAATTCCACCTGCAGAATGGAATGTTTATAACTATATATTCTTTAGTTAACTAAGATTTCTAAATATTGAAATCTGACCGTGATTTATCCAGTCATATATCATGCTATTAGTAAATTTTAATTAATTTAAATTAATTAAATAAAACCAGCATAATTACCAGTTATGTAGATATTCTCATCAGATGAGTAGGTAGTCCCAGAAACTTGATTGGTTGTATGGAGGTGCGTGAGTAATAGAGAAAAGTGGTGTTGGTTAGAAAGTATCAGTAAATTTTAAGTGTCAAGGAGTTTAAGAGTTGAGTCCAAGAGAGTTTAAGAGTAGAGTGTTTTGGAAAAAGTAGATGAAATTAAAGTGGGAAAGTTAATATTAGCAGGGGATTTTAGTGCAGTATTGGACCCTCAGATTGATAAAAAATTAATGAAAGGAAATACTCTAAACCAAATGGTGATAAAACAAGCAAAAGCTTTTAAAAAAAATGAAAGATAAATATAATTTATTTGATCTTTGGAGAATTTACAATCCCAATGAGAGAGATTATACGCACTTTTCTAAAGTGCATTTTTATTATTCAAGATTGGACATGATTTGGGTAGATCCAAGTATTATTGATATGACTAAAAAAACAAAGATTGATGAGATAGTTTGGACAGATCATAATGGAGTTTTCTGTGAAATAGTTTTTTGTACATTTAAAAGGGAAGCCTATACTTGGCGGTTAAGAGATAATTTGCTTTGTTGCGAATTAAAAAAAACTTACATAGGAAATAATATAAAAAATTACTTTAAAGAAAATATTTCAGAAAATATTGATCCATCTATTTTGTGGTGTGCCTTTAAGGCTGTTATAAGAGGTCATATTATCAAGCTACAAAGCCAGCTTGATAAAAATAATACTTTGGCATATTTACATACAGAATTAAGAAATATGACTCATATTAATAAACAATCTCCATCTCCCGAAATTTATGGAAAAATACTAGAACTTAAAGAAAATATAAAGCAAAAATTAATAGATACGATAGTTAAAAACATGGATAGATTAAAACTCAAATATTACTCTAAAGGTAATCGAGCTGAAAAGATGCTATCTCAAAAACTTAGAAAACAAAAAGGACAAAATAGAAACATAGAAACATAGAATGTGACGGCAGATAAGAACCATTCGGCCCATCTAGTCTGCCCAATTTTCTAAAAACTTTCATTAGTCCCTAGCCTTATCTTATAGTTAGGATAGCCTTATGCCTATCCCATGCATGCTTAAACTCCTTTACTGTGTTAACCTCTACCACTTCAGCTGGAAGGCTATTCCATGCATCCACTACCCTCTCAGTAAAGTAATACTTCCTGATATTATTTTTAAACCTTTGTCCCTCTAATTTAAGACTATGTCCTCTTGTTGTGGTAGTTTTTCTTCTTTTAAATATAGTCTCCTCCTTTACTGTGTTGATTCCCTTTATATATTTAAATGTTTCTATCATATCCCCCCTGTCTCGCCTTTCCTCCAAGCTATACATGTTAAGATCCTTTAACCTTTCCTGGTAAGTTTTATCCCGCAATCCATGAACCAGTTTAGTAGCCCTTCTCTGAACCCTCTCTAAGGTATCAATATCCTTCTGAAGATACGGTCTCCAGTACTGTGTACAATACTCCAAGTGAGGTCTCACCAGTGTTCTGTACAATGGCATGAGCACTTCCCTCTTTCTACTGCTAATGCCTCTCCCTATACAACCAAGCATTCTGCTAGCATTTCCTGCTGCTCTATTACATTGTCTGCCTACCTTTAAGTCATCAGAAATAATCACCCCTAAATCCCTTTCCTCATATGTTGAGGTTAAAAAAAAATTGGGCAGAGTCAAATTGCAGGTTTAGTGTTGCTTCCCTAAGATATAAAAGTCAGTAGCCACCTGATTAATTGTAATAGGGTACCGAATTAGAATACACTGATCATAATCATCAAAACGTGTTTCTGCCCGGTCTCGAACCGGGGACCTTTCGCGTGTGAGGCAAACGTGATAACCACTACACTACAGAAACCTCAATACCTCAATAAATAAAGTAAACCTCAATACCTCAATAAATAAAGTAGATAAAATAATACAGAATGGAAAAATAGCAACAACCCCTAGAGAGATTGGAAATTGTTTTAATAAATATTACAGCAATTTATATAATATATCTCAAATTGATACAGATGAGGATATTAAAAATTATTTAAACAATATAAAGAAGTTTCAATTAACATCTATTGAAAATGAATTTTTGAATAAACCTATAACTATGGAGGAGATTATGAAAGCTATAAATGATTTAGAAAGATCTAAAACACCAGGCCCTGATGGGTTTAGCAATCTATTTTATAAAACATCTATTATGTCCATATTTAACCTCTGCTTTCAATACAGCTGCAAATAGAGGATTTCTACCAGCAGAGATGCTTAAAGCTAATATCTTGCCCATTTTAAAAAATGATAAAAATCCCACCAACATCAAAAATTACCGTCCAATATCTTTAATAGATGTAGATACTAAGCTATATGCTTCGGTTTTGGCTGCCAGAATAAAAAAACTTCTCCCATTAATTATCCTCAAAGATCAAATAGGATATGTTCCAGGTAGAAATTCCTATACAAGCATAAGGAAAATTTTTAACATCTTGGACGATGCAAATAGAAATGATGTTCCAGTTCTGACTCTGTCGATTGATGCTGAAAAAGCATTCGACAGAGTCAGCTGGAAATATTTAGAAGCCGTCTTATCACACTATGGACTGGAAGGTTGGATTAAGAAAGCCATAATGGCCTTATATGTAAATCCAGTTGCACGGACTATTGGACCTAATATTGTTGCTCCATGGTTCCAACTTAGAAACGGTACTCAGCAAGGTTGCCCTCTTTCACCATTACTGTACCTGCTGACTATCGAACCATTGGCTGAAAACATTAGAAATAATAAGGAGATTAACGGATATAAAATAATGGATGAGGACCAAAAAATAAGTTTATATGCCGATGACATTTTAATTACTCTCACAAATCCTAAAAATTCTTTAGAACATACAATGCAAGAAATAGACCGATACAGTTTTATATCAAATTATAAGTTAAATACAAATAAATCCTTGATATTAGACATTAATCTCAATAAAAAGATGCAACAAGAGATTAAAAACAAATATGATTTTATTTGGGTTAGCGAAAGCATGGATTATTTAGGAATTAAAATAGCTAGAGAGACAAATAAAATTATGGAAGTACATTTTCTAACATTATTATTGGACCTTAATAAATGGTTAAAAGACCGCAGAAATTTAGAGATTACTTTTTGGGGACGAATAAATGTCATTAATTCATATGTTATACCAAAGTTGAATTACATGTTCCAAATGTTACCTCTCCATATTCCAATCCATTGGCTTCAATTAATACAAAGAAGCTTTACTCAATATATTTGGAAAGGCAAGAAGCCAAGATTAAAACAATCAGTATTAGTGCAAAGATTACATAAAGGTGGACTTGCCTATCCATTTATAATGAACAATTTTAAAGCAGCTACTATCCTACATATTTATAGAATGCAAATTAAAGAAAATAAAGATGAGGGATGGTATAAAATGGAAATGAAAGCAGGAGAGGTCTCTAGCTTGGATTGTTTAATTTGGAATATAAATAAAACGTTAAAAAAAAAAGAGTACTCTAATATTATTTTAACTCAATTATTAGAAAATTGGTCCAAAATTAAAAAAGCAATGAATATAGAAAAAAAAGTTCCAAGCTATTTAGAGTTAGATATTGTAGAAAATCAATTGGAAGACTTAAATTTAAATAATTGGAAAAAATTAGGGATAATGACTTTAGATCATTTATTGATAGAAGGATCAATCAAAACTTTTGCTCAAATAACAGGTGTATATAATCTTCCTTCTAGAGAGGTGTTTAATTTTTTAAGACTCAAAAGTTATATGAATACACACCTTATAATACTAAAATCTAATTTGAGCAATTTGATTGATTTATTATTTACCTTAAAAAAAATTAATAAACCACTTTCTAAAGCTCTAATATTAACTAAATCAATGGTTAAGGACATAAACCCTACTGCCATACAAGTATGGAAACAAGATTTAGACATTGACATTAGTATAAAACAATGGGGTTCTTCAATGATGGATGTTAAGAAGAATATACACTCATTAAATTTACTAGAAACACACTTTAAAGTTTTAAATAGGTGGTACTTAGTACCAGCTAAATTGAATAAAATTTACCCTTTAATTAATCCTACTTGTTGGAGATGTAATAGTACTAGAGGTAATTTTAGACATATTTGGTGGGATTGTTATAAATTAAAAAATCTTTGGCTGAAAATACAGCACTTCATATCCAATAATCTAAAACTCGAGTTGATAATTTCCCCAGAGGTAGTTCTGTTGCACTTGAATTGGCCACATATGACGTATGAGCTAAAAGTAATTCTTATACATCTTTTTTTAGCTGCTAAAATAGTAATTGCGAGATGGTGGAAAAAAGATTCAGAAGTCCCCTGGAAGAAAGTTAAAACCCAACTCGAGTTTCAGATTAAAATGGAGTTGATGCTAAGTAAACAAAAACTAAGCAATAAGGTATCTGTTTGGTCAAAATGTATTGAGATGATTGATGTAGAAAATAATGTTGATTAATCAGAAGCAGACTAATTCCATGAACATTGTAAAAATTACGAGATATATTTGAATGATATTACCACTCTACTAAGGAAACTTTTCTAGTATTTTTCTTTCTTTCCTATTCTGCTGCTATATTGTTTTGTTTTGTATTGTAAAATTGTATGATATATGTATTTTGTATGATACATGTATTTAAAATAAGGAAAAAAAATAAATAAAGATTAAATATTCAAAAAAAAAAAAAAAGAGTAGAGTGTTAGTCCCAGAGAATGTCCTGGATCTCTCTGCATGTCCAAATCGGAATCCCCCAAACTCCACCAACCTCTCTCTACCAACTAACCTCTCTCTTCCCTTTGTCCTAACTTTTAAAGGGCCAGACTCTCTGTACGTCATTAGTTGATAAGGCCAATTAGGAAACAGTAGGTGTGTTCAATCGATGGATCGCAATTTAGGTATTTGATCCATAGAGGGCAGTCTCGTCTTACTAAACCTTCCTATCCAGGAGAGAGTTAACTTTTCCTGATGACGCTTTTGACGTCATTTGGCTTATCTAAAATGACTACCATAACTTAGATTTGCTGTCAGTTCAAAGCGTTTGTCTCAGTCTTTGTGGCAACTACTTTGATCGTAATTTGTAAAGTTGACAGTTCTAAACTCAATTTCACCCCTTACTTACAATGGGACCTTGTGAAATTTAGAAAGTAAAATTAATTACTTAGTCTTCTCTGTCACTAGTGTCTGTGTTTATATAATGCATTCCTTAGCTCTGGCTCAGTGGTTAGTGAAAGCAAGGAAGTTATGTGTCTTTGTTATCCTGAAGATAGCAAAATGGAGTCCGCTCTGTACACTTTTAATTTCTTTCTTAGCACAAAATGTCTGCCGATATAAATATCCTGACAACACATAGCTATCAAACAGTCACCAAAGGACTAAGTAACCAGGGACCAGGGGCATAAGATAGAGCTAATTCATTGGAAAGAGATTTATTTCACTATCTGTAGAAGCAAATCACGGAGTGGGAGGTGTTTGACAGACAAATGTTTCTTGGGGAACCAGAGGTCAGGGGTTAATTGAGAGGGGATTATAACAACTAGGAATGTATCTCTCGGGGATCTATTTTGGAAAGGGAAAGGGTTAATATGCAGGGGAATGTTGGGATGTAATTTTAATATTGTAATACCAAAAAAAAGCTTGCAAAAGCTACAGATCTCTTAACTGCAGCCTTTACAAACCCTCCCCTTCTAACCCCGCCCAGACTTTCTGTGACTGTCCAATCACAGACCTCCCAATGCAGCTCAATGAGAAGTCTTTGCAAGGCAGGTGCTCTGGGCCATTGCTGCCTCTCAAATTTATCTCCCCTGAGCTAAACAAACCAGGAAGTAACAGGACCATTTGTATGATTGACAGCAGAGCTGTGTAAAAAGGTTAATTTACCTTGAAATCTGCACGTTTTATAAAATGAAAATGGACACTGCGTAAATAAAGCATTTCAGCAAGCTACAATGCTTTAGGTGTGTGGAGTGCTCCTTTAAATTGGTAGAGTCTCTTTGGATTTGCAGAAAATAAATCTGTTTACAAATTCCTATCAAAAGACTGTTCTTACCTTTCCAGACAGCATTGCATAAATGACCACTCCAACGCTCCACCAGTCTACAGCTCTTGTGTACGGCTTGCCCTTTAAGACTTCAGGAGCTGCGTAAAGCGGTGTTCCCCAAGGGGTCCCGGTTGAGTCTCCGTATCCGATTCCTCAGAAATAAGGAAAATAGAATTGGGTATAAGTTGAAGATAGATATTCAGTTTTAGCAAATTCTATTTGGAATGACTAAGTTAGACTGATCTGTAATCTTAATTGAACATGCTAACGGGTTAGCTCACGTCTGATGACATGTTTCTGTATTGGATCTGATATTCCTATAAGAATATAAATTAATAGATATTGCTGAGATTGTTATTCAGTGGAGCTTGAAATCACTCCATAAACCTTTACCCAGCAGGAGTTTATGGGATGCTGTCAGACACGGTTCTCCATGTCGGTAACCACAGGGGTGTGAAAATATAAAGGACTAAAGCAGTAGCCCAATCTCCTTTAATAATTTCAATTAGAATAATTGGGGGTTTGCCTACCTGGAGCCCTATGCATAGTGTCTCACCCTCTGCCCTCCCCATAATAACTCCTTCTGTTCCTCCCCAGTGTGTGTGCTGGCTGAGTGTAATGTGTGTGTGCATCCGACACTGCCTGCTCAGCCCTGGATAGAGACTGAGTAAAAACATTTTAGCTTAAAAGGGGGGCCGCATAACCTGAAAGACCCCATGGACACTTTAAATTAAAAATAAATACTTTTACTGTTACAGAGTTTCTTTTGGAATGAAGCACACATTTCATACACATCATTTTATATATTAAAAGGTTGTTTATATGAAAGCTAGCTCTGACATTGCCGGGACATTTTGACCTCACTAAGTGAGAATACCTTTGTCAAAATGTATGTTTTGATTATAAAATTATATTTACCTTCTTTGCAAAGACCGAAGTCTGTGATCTTTACGAACCCTTTTTCGTCTAGAACAATATTCTCTAATTTCAGGTCTCTATATTAAAATACAGAACATTACGTTTTATTCATTTTACATAACACTAGAGGCACTTAGGTTTAGGATTCACTCTTTAGGCTATTTAAATGGTTAACATGAATAACTTACTATAAACAAACAGGGTTAAATACAATAACACAAATATCACGGACACTCCATGTGTAGTTTTTTTCTATAATCTTACCGGTGGACGATTTTCTGTTGGTGTAAGAACTCCAGTCCCAGGACGACACAGGCAGAATAAAATCTGGGAATAATAAATAAATCTGTTACTTTCTAGAAGATGAAGTGTTTTATTACTAACTGGTTTAATTCCGTATATTCCAAGTCACTCTGTGTTCTGACATATTGCATTAATTCCCAAGTTTCCTTCTGCTCTCTCACTGCTGGTGGCTGGTTATTTATCAGCTGATACAATGGTGATTGGTCGTTTACCATTCACAGCTGGTTCCATTCACCAATGCCGATGCTTCCAAGACCGTAAGCTATAGTTGGTGCACACAGCGGTGCATGTAACCGCACTGATACAGCATTGGACACATACAGCAGGCAGATATACAGCAGCCCATGGGATATACATCACATTATACAGTATGAAGTCATTTTTAATATGTTTGTTAATGGCTAATCATGTTTACACTCGATCTAAAACCCACAGAGCTAGCTATCTTTCCTCTTCCTCAATTATATTTGATTGCTTCTTACTCTACTTTTTTTAAACCAAATTGGTTTTTTATAAAGAATTTGTCAAATTCTGTTTGAATGATGTTGTTACTGTTTTAATGTAATGAGTATTGTTTTTGTTATCCCTGTTATATCCCTGGCATAAACAGGTATAAATAACTAGAATTTATGGAATTTGTAGCCCTCGTGCAGAACATTGGATTAGACCTGCAGCTTATACTCACACAGCTCTGGGTTCTGGAAATGGACCTCGCTTGAGGTGTGTCTTTAGGTCGCCCCCAGCAGCATATTCCATCACAAAAACGGCGTGATCTTGAGTGTGGAAACTGCCAAACATGTTAATTAGAAATGGGTGACGCCTGTTGGTCACAACTTGAAATACCCGCTTCTCAATCAGAAGGCTGGAAAGGAAAAATAAAAGTTTAAACTAATTTTCCCCCGATCTCCAAAACCAATTGACAAACAAAAGACAGAAAACATGACCTTTTCTTTCCAAAAACCATTAATTGTTCTTCATTTACTGACCAATCGAGTATTGATGATGATTCTATGTCTCCTTTTCTTATTACTTTCAAGGCATACATATTGCCTGTGTCCTTGTATTTAGCCAGCAGAACCTGAAATTAAAATGAACAAATTGTTGTGCTGCATCTGTTAAGACATCCGTTATATCGAACTAGAATTGGAATTCCACCTTAAACTTATTTTCCCGAAGCTCCCTCTACCGAGCACAGAGCGGAGCTTGAAGTCCTCCATGGTGAGAGGAATCCGGAGACGAATACTGCCAAGAAAGGAAAACGTTCAGAAATTATTTAAATTGTCCCAAACACCCCTCACAATAAAAAAGACTTAGAATAAAAGGCTCCTGTAACACAGGTAAGTAATCATACCGCACGTCTGGTGTTGGGTTTGTAATCATTTCTTTGCTATCGCTGGTATATTCATGGCCTTCTCCAAAATCCTAGAAAGGAAAACCATACATGATAAAGGATTTTTTGTGTTACCTATCTGCAATGTATACCACTGAATAACACACTAAAAGCATTTCCCCTGAGATTCTCTGTTTACCTTTAATGATTTAGGAAATGGCAAAGGATGAGAAATAGAAGCCTTGTCTAATGTCTACTCTCTCGCTATGTTTTCTCTATCGGAGGTTATATTAATGATTGACAGGGAGTTACAAGAACTACAAGAACCAGATTTAGCCCGAGTTCAACCATCAATGTCGGCATAGGGGACATGTGGACCAGCCAAGCCCTTATTTGTCCAAAAGTTCCTAAATGGTCTAACAAAAAAATAAGTGGGCTAATATCCACAGAATCATTGCACCATAACTACATTACTGTGCTATAATGGTTATTGTACACAGAGTGAAATTTTTTTTGATGAAGTTTAGAGGTAAAGAACAACCAGCACATCGGAGAGCTTTACCTGAGCCAGGAAATCCGGGAACTCAATATAAATTGAAATCTCAGGCAGAATGCTATATAAAAAAGTCTGACTTGGAGCAGGAGCAGCGTCTAAGTGAAGTTCCACATCCGGTAGGACAATTGGTTTCATAGAGAAGAGTTGAAAAAAGCTATCAGAAGGAAGAAAATTATAGTTTATCTAGTTGTCATATCACTATACTCTTTATATCTTAGACAATGATGCTGCTATATTCAGGACATTATTTAACCCCCACAACAGACATATAGATAATCAGCAGGTATGGTGGTGTAAACTGAGATGGATTCAGGTCCTAACAACATTGATGAGAAAGATGTAAAGTGAATACCCAGCCAGCTCTGGCTCCTGTGTGTCCGTCACCAACATCGAAGGGGCAGCAGTATTAATGTCCGTCTCCGGAGCTGGTAACGATGGTTGTTCTGTAAAGGTTGAGACATAATGTAAGTAATGTATATTATACACGGTGATTAATAATACTTCAATAATTCTAAACTCAATGCAACAGAGAATCAAGCAAACACCACTATATCCAAGCCTAGACTTTATGATATTTAATTTATAAAATAATATAAAATGTATTCGCACCTTCTCATTACTCCCTTTACCTCCCACTTCTAAGAGGAAATGCAAAGACAAAGCAACTGGAAGATACAGCTGTACATTTCCTCATAAAACCTTGGAGTGTAGACATTTATGGGATACGTACAGATCTCTTATACCTCCTTGTAAGAGAGTTAAAGCTTGATGTGGTTATGGTACAAGTCCTGCCCTGGCACCCCATTATTAGACGTCAGGTGCCGCTCCCTGCGTCCACTACCAGCGACGGAGAGCCGGACGCTCCTAAACAGGAACTTCTAAGGACTCCTTACAAAGCAGCCACCAGGGCACTACTGGCACCGTAACAATAATGACCTGTAGTGGTTATGGTGCTTGGATTGTTTCTTTAAAGTTTAGTCACATCCATGAACACTGTACCTCCACAGGTGACTTATGGATCACTATATATAAAAGCAGTCGGCACCCAGAATATCTCATGGCCAAGACACACAGCCAAACTCTAAAAACGAAAACTCTCAAAAATATAAAATACGTGTTCATTGTTACCCATTAACCCCTTAAGGACGGAGCCAAATGTACACGTTGTTAACAAAACAAAATGTAAACAAAACCTGGCATTTGCGCTACATGTCTGTCCAACCATAATACACCTCTTTCATAGTAAATGCACCCACCCTTATTATATATCATTTTATTCAGGGGAAACAGGGCTTTCATTTAATATCAAATATTTAGCTATGAAACATAATTTAATATGAAAAGAATGGGAGAAAATACAATTTTTTTTGATTTTTTGAGTTCTACATGACATTTTAACGGTCAGTGTCATAATACTGTTTGCTTTTACTGCAATAAAATGCACATATTTGTATTCAGCACGTGTAAGACAGTACCCCCTATGTACAGGTTTTATGGCGTTTTGGGAAATTACAGGGTCAAATACAGGGAGTGCAGAATTATTAGGCAAGTTGTATTTTTGAGGATTAATTTTATTATTGAACAACAACCATGTTCTCAATGAACCCAAAAAACTCATTAATATCAAAGCTGAATATTTTTGGAAGTAGTTTTTAGTTTGTTTTTAGTTATAGCTATGTTAGGGGATATCTGTGTGTGCAGGTGACTATTACTGTGCATAATTATTAGGCAACTTAACAAAAAACAAATATATACCCATTTCAATTATTTATTATTACCAGTGAAACCAATATAACATTTCAACATTCACAAATATACATTTCTGACATTCAAAAACAAAACAAAAACAAATCAGTGACCAATATAGCCACCTTTCTTTGCAAGGACACTCAAAAGCCTGCCATCCATGGATTCTGTCAGTGTTTTGATCTGTTCACCATCAACATTGCGTGCAGCAGCAACCACAGCCTCCCAGACACTGTTCAGAGAGGTGTACTGTTTTCCCTCCTTGTAAATCTCACATTTGATGATGGACCACAGGTTCTCAATAGGGTTCAGATCAGGTGAACAAGGAGGCCATGTCATTATATTTTCTTCTTTTATACCCTTTCTTGCCAGCCACGCTGTGGAGTACTTGGACGCGTGTGATGGAGCATTGTCCTGCATGAAAATCATGTTTTTCTTGAAGGATGCAGACTTCTTCCTGTACCACTGCTTGAAGAAGGTGTCTTCCAGGAACTGGCAGTAGGACTGGGAGTTGAGCTTGACTCCATCCTCAACCCGAAAAGGCCCCACAAGCTCATCTTTGATGATACCAGCCCAAACCAGTACTCCACCTCCACCTTGCTGGCGTCTGAGTCGGACTGGAGCTCTCTGCCCTTTACCAATCCAGCCACGGGCCCATCCATCTGGCCCATCAAGACTCACTCTCATTTCATCAGTCCATAAAACCTTAGAAAAATCAGTCTTGAGATATTTCTTGGCCCAGTCTTGACGTTTCAGCTTGTGTGTCTTGTTCAGTGGTGGTCGTCTTTCAGCCTTTCTTACCTTGGCCATGTCTCTGAGTATTGCACACCTTGTGCTTTTGGGCACTCCAGTGATGTTGCAGCTCTGAAATATGGCCAAACTGGTGGCAAGTGGCATCGTGGCAGCTGCACGCTTGACTTTTCTCAGTTCATGGGCAGTTATTTTGCGCTTTGGTTTTTCCACACGCTTCTTGCGACCCTGTTGACTATTTTGAATGAAACGCTTGATTGTTCGATGATCACGCTTCAGAAGCTTTGCAATTTTAAGAGTGCTGCATCCCTCTGCAAGATATCTCACTATTTTTGACTTTTCTGAGCCTGTCAAGTCCTTCTTTTGACCCATTTTGCCAAAGGAAAGGAAGTTGCCTAATAATTATGCACACCTGATATAGGGTGTTGATGTCATTAGACCACACCCCTTCTCATTACAGAGATGCACATCACCTAATATGCTTAATTGGTAGTAGGCTTTCGAGCCTATACAGCTTGGAGTAAGACAACATGCATAAAGAGGATGATGTGGTCAAAATACTCATTTGCCTAAATTTGCACTCCCTGTATAGCACGTATTAGAATTGAATTCGCTAGATTACACGTTGCTTTTTGAGACTGTATAGTAGCCCGAATAAATTACACTTCCATAATGGTATAATTATTTAATAGTAGACAACCAGTATAAGGCCAGTCTTTTTAGTAGCTTATCACAAACACTGGTCAAAGTTACGTTAGTATTTGTTTGTGTGTGAAAATGCAAAAAACGCCAATTTTAGCCAGTGTTTGTGACTAAGTGGCTACTAAAAGACTGGACATACCCTGTTTGCAATACCTTGGGTTGTCTACTATTGCAAATGGTATGCCATCATAGGGGTAATTTTCATTCTTGGGCTACCATAGGGTCTCAAAGGCAACGTAACCAATCTGGCGAATTTTAATGTGAAAAAAATGAAACGCAAGCCTTATATTTGACGCTGTAACTTTTGAAAACACCATAAAACCTGTACATGAGGGGTACTGTTGTACTCGGGAGACTTCGCTGAACACAAATATTTGTGTTTCAAAACAGTAAAAAGTATCACAGCAATAATATTGTCCATGTAATGCTGTTTGTGCGTGAAAAATGCAAAAAACTTCACTTTTACTGGCGATATCATCGTTGTAATACATTTTACTGTTTTGAAACACTAATATTTGTGTTCAGCGAAGTCTCCCGAGTAGAACAGTACCCCCCATGTACAGGTTTTATGGTGTCTTGGAAAGTTATAGGGTTAAATATAGTGCTAGCAAATTAAATTCCCTTTACTTTCGGCATGGGTTGTCAGGCAGGTCCTGCTAATTGTAATTAATTAAGATACCTAATTATGTAAAAATAATACATAAATATATATGTAGAATTAATATATGTATATATATATATACGTATGTGTATATATATGTATATATCTATATAATTTTAAAAAATATTTTTATTTATATATAGGTATATATATAGTGATATATACGTATATATTTATGTATATAGATATATATATTATTTCGTTCTACGTGTATTTTGATATATATATATATTAATTTCACAATACAGTTAGAACGAAATAACACACATCTATATATTTTTTAATTATTTATTTTTAATTATTTTTTTAATTTTATTTTTTAACGTATTTACATTTTAATTTTTTTTATAATATATATAAATATATATATAACAATAATTATATATATATTTAATCAGTATCAGTCTACGTGTAATTTGATATTAATATATATATATAATTATATATATATTAATAGTAAAATACACCTAGACGGTGTACATGTGTGTATGTATATGTGTATATATATACTTAGATCATATATATATAATATATATATATGATCTAAGTATATATAATTTTTTTTTTACACCATTTATTTGTTTTACTTTTATTTTCAGCCAGCAGGGGGACCACCTGTCATTACAGGCAGCCCCCCTGCTGGCAATACAGAAGCCAGCTATCCCCGGCCATGTGATTGTGGGGTCCTCGCTAGGACCCCACTCTCACACGGCCGGGGGCTTCCTGGAGGACGGTCGTGCCGCGGGGGGCTCCCTGGGAGTCCCCCCCACCGCGATCGCCGGCGTGGGACCGCCGGCGACCGGGTAAGTACCGAAAGACCGGAGGGCGTACTATTACGCCCGGCGGCGTTTAGAGCCGCCTATAATAGGGCGTAATAGTACGCCCTCCGGTCTGAAGGGGTTAATATTCTTTCAAACTGCATACGAGGAAAGAACGTTTACCTTTTATAAGTGACTGGATTCGACTGCGCAACCTGGCTATTTTATTCTCGCTGTCTTGACGTTTTTCCAGGACAGCAGCAATATGTTTGGCATTCTGTAACAGTAATAAGAATAGTCAGATAGCTGATTAAACTGTATGGAGAAATATAGGATTAATTAACCTCATTCTAGGAAATTAACTACTTACAACCCAGGATACATGTGGACGAGGATTTGTTCTCATTGATCTCAAACAATGATTTTTACCCAGATATTAAAGTATTATTAAGTCAGTTCCAGGCAATCCTTGTACATAACATGCAGGGACTATAAATCCAGTTCACTTTGTTTCTCTTTCAGTATACGAGAGCCTTTATGGCTCAAAATACAGCAGCGGAATGCTTGCATCTGGGGGGAAAGGCACTAGGCACACTACAGTGCTTCCTTGCAGGCAGACTGAATTATAGACACACATTATGGAAGAATAATCTTTAAAATCAGAAATAAAACAATAAAAAACATGCATCCTTTCTACTTAGAATTTAGAAAAGTGCTTCAGGGGTGATTGAGAAAAGCTTTCAACTATTTCACTGTGAGAGATCTCGGGAAATCTAGTTGGTAATTTGTATCACCTCCCTGTGAGGGTGTAAAAGGCATGTCATGTAAAAGGTGTAAGAGCGTTTTGGGAGTTGCCCCTCCCCCATCAACAATTTTAAAAAATATTATTTTTTATTAAACTCAATTTGATCGTATCCGACTTACTTTGGGAGGATCATTGGAATAAGCTTTGATCAGATTCTCTGCTCCCTGCTTCACCTTCAGCTCAATGTCCAGCTGTTTCTGCAAAGCACTCAGCTTCACGTTGTCTGCCTGGGAGCTGGTGTCACTTGTAGGAGCATCTGAGATCTCTGGACATCCCGGGAATTAGTAACAAGAAAAATACAACATTTGGAAATGTCAGCAGACAGTATCACTCAATAAATAAATAAGACAGTTACATTAAGTAGAGTAGGTAATGTCACGATAGATAACACAGACCCACAGAGCATCTTTAAATCAAGGAGTATAAAAACACTGAAAGAAAAGATAAATACAGAGTAAACAACAAAAATCCCAGCTGCTAGAAGTCCCCCGTGCTTGATGACACCATAGGAAGACGCCATGTACATGCCTTCCAGTTTCAATAGATGTCAGTGAGATAGATCTACAGTAAATATTGTATCGACTCCAGTCTTTCATGGACATTTCTAGGAATACTCCAAGTTTGGTTTAATTCCTTACCAGGGTCCCGCCAGGTGCCTGTGACCACATCCCATGTATTCAGTCTTCTCTGGCAAGAGAATGCAGATTGCCCGATTAAGCAAAGTAGGGCCATGCAGCTGAGCTCCCTCTAGCCAATGAACATGGTCCATTAATGGCCATGCTTTATTTTATAGGGACATCCGACTTCTCTGTTTGGAGAACACTGAATGCAGCAGATGTGGCTGCAGGTTCCCTACAGGACGCAGGTAAGTTGTCACACCATATAAAAAAAGTTTGACATCTTACAATGAGATGGTACAAGGATGCTCCTGGCACCATAAATCCTATATCTGTAGTTGTTATAGGGCCTGGTATATTTCTTTAATATGCTGTATTTAGTTAAAGGAGTACCATAGTGCCAGGAAAACAAACTTGTTTTCCTGGCACTATAGGATCATTAGGTCCCCCCACCCCTTAGGGCCCCCTTCCTGCTGAGCTGAAGGGGTTAAAACCCCTTCAGCCACTTACCTTTCTCCAGGGCCGGGCTCCTGGGGGATCTCATAGACTGGCACTGGGAGGAACTTCAAACACTGTCTAACCCAATAACTGTCATATATTCAAACACTGTCTGACCCAATAACTGTCATATATTCAAACACCGTCTGACCCAATAACTGTCATATATTCAAACACCGTCTGACCCAATAACTGTCATATATTCAAACACTGTCTGACCCAATAACTGCCATATATTCAAACACTGTCTGACCCAATAACTGTCATATATTCAAACACTGTCTGACCCAATAACTGCCATATTCAAACACCGTCTGACCCAATAACTGTCATGTATTCAAACACTGTCTGACCCAATAACTGTCATGTATTCAAACACTGTCTGACCCAATAACAGTCATATATTCAAACACTGTCTGACCCAATAACTGCCATATTCAAACACCGTCTGACCCAATAACTGTCATATTCATACACCGTCCGACCTAATAACTGTCATATTCAAACACCATCTGACCCAATAACTGCCATATTCAAACACCGTCTGACCCAATAACTGTCATATTCAAACACCGTCTGACCCAATAACTGCCATATTCAAACACCGTCTGACCCAATAACTGTCACATTCATACACCGTCTGACCCAATAACTGTCATATTCATACACCGTCTGACCCAATAACTGTTACATTCAAACACCGTCTGACCCAATAACTGTCATATTCAAACACCGTCTGACCCAATAACTGTCACATTCATACACCGTCTGAGCCAATAACTGTCATATTCAAACACCGTCTGACCCAATAACTGTCATTTTGTTTTCCTCAGAGGAGGAGTTGATTTACTGCATGAATACTGTTGCTTTGTGTGCATTAAACAGATCTCTACCCAGCATTAATACTCGGCTCATGTGAGGGTTATGCTATGCTTGTGTCTACACTCTGCCTGGAAGGATTATTCTACTACTACTTACTACTGGGAGAAAGGGAACCCAAGACGGTCAGAGAGGGTTGGACCGTCACAATTTGTGGCAGCGGCGAGATCGTCCCTTTCTCAAGGATTTATAATTCAAGCGCAACACCCTGAAAGAATTATTGGAGGTTCGAGAGGGCAACTCTAGCACTCATGTAGTGCCCCCTGGCTTCAGAGGAACTCAGAGGGATGGACCGAGCTAGCCCCCAGGCAGCGTCACCCTATGAGGAAGAGTTCCTGTGGAGACTACAAAGTGCCTTGTCCCAGGAGTGTGGCCCTATTTCAGCCGAGGAGGAGCTGGCCTGGAGAGATGGGATACGGCGAGATCTCTGGCTAGAAGCCTTAGAGTGGGCGCACGGTGCATGGGAAAAGATCCTTTCAAGCAGGGAAAAGAGCGCAGTCAAAAGCAAGCAGCACTGAGGACGCCCTTCCTGGGGTGTCCACACATGTGAGAAGCTGCTATGGAACTTCAGTGGCTGGTGAAGAAAGAACTGTGGCTGGATGGAGCCTACAGGGCCCTAAAGTGGTACGCCAACAAGAGGTGTTCCTGGACAGCTGAGGATGAGAGGACAGAGGACAGGGACGATGAGGGCCCCGGTCTGCTATGGGAGTCATTGGAAGAGGACTGTGACTTTGGCCGCCCAGAGGAGTTCCGGTATTGGGACATCAGGGAATGGCGAGCAGAAGTACTAGAGCTCCCTGATGCTGCTGACCTAGACCCAGATTTCACCCGCCTGGTTATAATCGAATGGGAGCTGGATCAGGAGTACTATCAACTACTTAAGTTCGCTCAACCACCATCCCTCGATCCAGAGGATTACCTGGACACCATACCCTCGTCCGCACAACCAGCCCCAGAGGTTGAGCGACCTTATGGTCTGGTCCTTGGTAGGTGGATATGGGACCAAGGTCTCTCCTCCGGCCCTTCAGAGATGCTGGGCAGTTGGCCCTGATCCCCAGCTGCAGCTGGAAGTACCGGGAGTGAGGACAAGCGATGCTACTCCTCAGCGGCAGTACATATCCCAGGGAGAAGAGACAACCGGGCTCCCTCCCCAACAACAAACAGAGGTATCCAAGGTAGCAGACTGGTCCTGGGAGAACCCCCAACAGGCAGGTGGAGATGGGACCGAGATCTCTCTACCGACCCTACAGGGATGCTGGGCAGCCGGCCTAGATCCCCAGTTGCAGCCAGAGCTACAGAGAGAGGAGGCAGGTGGTCCTGATCCCAAGTCCTGGGGCATCTCATAGACTGGCACTGGGAGGAACTTCAAATGGCAGGTGTAGATGGGACCAAGGTCTCTCTACCAGCCCTACAGGGATGCTGGGCAGCTGGCTCAGATCCCCAGCGGCAGCTGGAGTTACAGGGAGAGGAGACAATCTGTCTCTCTCCCCAGCATCTCACAGAGAGAGGAGACAACCGGTCTCCTTCCCCAGCGGCAGCCTGAGTTCCAGGAGGAGGAGAAGCTATATATATCTGCTATATAACACTATTTTACTATCAGCCATCGTACTGTATCACCATCAAATTACAGATTATACCGGTATTTTGGTATGTTTTATAAATTCACTGTATCTGCTGTATCACACTATTTCACTATCAGCCATGGTACCGTATCACCATAAAATTACAGATTATACCGGTATTTGGGTAATTTTTGCCAATTCACTGAATCTGCAGGTTCTTAATTCTCTGAAGAAAACTAAAGGAATGTGCATATAAAACAGCATATCGGCTAAATATGAAGTAAATATATACCCAGAATCCCATAAAGAGATACAGCTTGTAGATTACTGCTAAATGTATAATATTAATAATAAATTATATACAAAGTTAATTTAAATCCTGATTAGCCATGAAATAATCAATGTCCATATAATAGGCACTAATATAATTATTGAACAAATTACAAAATGGCTGATTTAATTCATACACCGTCTGACCCAATAACTGTCACATTCAAACACCGTCTGACCCAATAGCTGTCACATTCACACACCGTCTGACCCAATAACTGTCATATTCATACACTGTCTGACCCAATAACAGTCATATATTCAAACACTGTCTGACCCAATAACTGCCATATTCAAACACCGTCTGACCCAATAACTGTCATATTCATACACCGTCCGACCTAATAACTGTCATATTCAAACACCATCTGACCCAATAACTGCCATATTCAAACACCGTCTGACCCAATAACTGTCATATTCAAACACCGTCTGACCCAATAACTGCCATATTCAAACACCGTCTGACCCAATAACTGTCACATTCATACACCGTCTGACCCAATAACTGTCATATTCATACACCGTCTGACCCAATAACTGTTACATTCAAACACCGTCTGACCCAATAACTGTCATATTCAAACACCGTCTGACCCAATAACTGTCACATTCATACACCGTCTGAGCCAATAACTGTCATATTCAAACACCGTCTGACCCAATAACTGTCATTTTGTTTTCCTCAGAGGAGGAGTTGATTTACTGCATGAATACTGTTGCTTTGTGTGCATTAAACAGATCTCTACCCAGCATTAATACTCGGCTCATGTGAGGGTTATGCTATGCTTGTGTCTACACTCTGCCTGGAAGGATTATTCTACTACTACTTACTACTGGGAGAAAGGGAACCCAAGACGGTCAGAGAGGGTTGGACCGTCACAATTTGTGGCAGCGGCGAGATCGTCCCTTTCTCAAGGATTTATAATTCAAGCGCAACACCCTGAAAGAATTATTGGAGGTTCGAGAGGGCAACTCTAGCACTCATGTAGTGCCCCCTGGCTTCAGAGGAACTCAGAGGGATGGACCGAGCTAGCCCCCAGGCAGCGTCACCCTATGAGGAAGAGTTCCTGTGGAGACTACAAAATGCCTTGTCCCAGGAGTGTGGCCCTATTTCAGCCGAGGAGGAGCTGGCCTGGAGAGATGGGATACGGCGAGATCTCTGGCTAGAAGCCTTAGAGTGGGCGCACGGTGCATGGGAAAAGATCCTTTCAAGCAGGGAAAAGAGCGCAGTCAAAAGCAAGCAGCACTGAGGACGCCCTTCCTGGGGTGTCCACACATGTGAGAAGCTGCTATGGAACTTCAGTGGCTGGTGAAGAAAGAACTGTGGCTGGATGGAGCCTACAGGGCCCTAAAGTGGTACGCCAACAAGAGGTGTTCCTGGACAGCTGAGGATGAGAGGACAGAGGACAGGGACGATGAGGGCCCCGGTCTGCTATGGGAGTCATTGGAAGAGGACTGTGACTTTGGCCGCCCAGAGGAGTTCCGGTATTGGGACATCAGGGAATGGCGAGCAGAAGTACCAGAGCTCCCTGATGCTGCTGACCTAGACCCAGATTTCACCCGCCTGGTTATAATCGAATGGGAGCTGGATCAGGAGTACTATCAACTACTTAAGTTCGCTCAACCACCATCCCTCG